CGAGCGTAAAATATGAAACGCCTCCACCGGGATCGAACTCGAGTTGCGCCGGTGGAAGACCAGCGCGTTACCACCAGGCTATCGTGACTCCGATATATCATGGGTGAATTTACACCTGTTAAGCGCAACTACGTCTCGCGGCATCTGATTAGCACTACTCATGTTCAGTGCCCACCTGTACTGCCTTCCGGTGTTGAGCTGTACAGAGCTTAGACGCCGGCCCTCAACTACTCCCCACTAAACGGCCAGTAGTGCTCAACACTAGTCTTGTTTTTTCCGTGTAGGTTAAAGATTTCCGAGCCACACTTTCAGTTCACTGTTCTTCATTTGAGTAGAACTTTGGATAATTTCAAATAAATCATCCAAAATAATACCACAATAGAATTAATCCTCGCGAGTTGAGAATCAATCCTCGCGGGTTGATAATCAATCCTCGCGGGTCGAGAATCAATACTCCGCGGGTTGAAAATCAATCATCCGCGGGTTGAGAATCAATCCTCCGCGGGTTGAGAATCAATCCTCGCGGGTTGAGCATCATCCCAAACGGGACTAGAGTCAATCCTCGGCGACGAAAGCACCATCCCGTGCGGCGTGCTGCGATGGCGGAGAAAGGATGAGAATCAACAGTTAAAAGTGACTAGACTCAACCCTCGATTTTTCACTCAAGGAATTCTCACGCGGACGGAACTGGTTCCGTATCTTCTCCGCCGAAGTGTGAAACTCACGCCTTTTTTTCTAACAGTGCAGTTAAGGTAACTCCATGGACCACCACTTCAAGCTTTAGCGTTATACTGCCGCGTGAGAAACCCAGTATAAGTCTGCAGGTGTTGCCAAATTTCCTTCGATCAAACGCAAATTTGCTCGAAAACTAGCAGATAATTTCCTCCCAAATTTTCATAGAGTTTCATTCGCTATTAAATCTTCAATATCTGAGAATTTAAAGGAAATAAATGCCTAGTTTCCCAATTTTGGCAACTCTCGAATGTTCATATGTGGCATGGCAGCATACTGCCCTACCACGGAAGAATGCAACGAGAGTTTTCAGAAGCAACCGTCTCTTGACTAGACAAGAATTCTCTGGGTAACTTAGGACTATTTTAGTTCAAATTTTTCAAAACAAATTATTTGCAATTTATTTATTTTGAAGTATGAACACTTCAAAGAGAAATATTCATAAGTTTCCTCGAATGTTGTTATTTATTTGGGGGAAATTTGGCAAAATTCAGATGTTCATACGGAACTTTTCTTTAGTATGGCAGGATACCCATTTTTTCAGGTGTAGTATTTGAAGCACACAATTAGCATCATATCTTGCTATGCGTTACTTTAAGATTTTTCTCGTAGCCTATTGAGAATCCTAATTATTAAGTGCTCTTTTCCCTTAAATTTTTCTTAATGTAATAATTGCTCTATGAAATTGAAAGCAAAGACAGACAAAGAGTTTTCTGCAAAGGAATCAAGATAGAGGGGATCGTCAACTTTAGTAGTTTTGTGCACAGCAAAAACTATTCAATTTTTTTAGGGTTTTGAAAAGGCGTTAAGAAGGTATATATACATTGTGAATTTACAGGAAAGATCCTCAGTTCTGACACTATTAAGTTAATAAATAGAGGAAAGAGTACAGAGATCAAAATATAAAAACTATGAAGAATCGCTGGAATTGGGGAAAAAAGCCTCATGAAACCTCAGTTAGATGAATCAAATTATTTTTCATTTCATCTTTAAAATGTTTTTCAACTTGCTACTGAAAATAAAATAAAAGTTAATGCTTACCATGATCACATTTATTTCATCTTCACAAGAGGAGTGGAAAACACACATTTATTTTAGGAGGAAAAAAATAAGGGGAAATGATAAGAGCTAAAAATAGAGGAAAATCGTCCGTATATTTCTTCATAGCTTGCCTCAGGTCTTTGCCTTTGAGAGGTAACACAATAATTGGTGTAATTGCCGTCTACAGTCAACGGTATGAACTAACACAGTATAATTCAAGGCAAGCGTTTGTATGCAATTTTCCTTCATTACCCCTATTTTAAATAATCTACCCGATAATAGTTTACGCACGTGCTTTCAAAAGAACAGAAACAAAGTGAATTCAACATTGGTTTCGGCACTGAAGATAGTTGTTCAAACTCATTAGAGCTTGAGGATCTTCGTGAAATTTCAACGTGCCAAAAACTGTAAAAACTTCTCGTACCAAAAACTGTAAGAGTCGACTATTTGCCAGAAAATCCCTCCCGAGCTCAGCTGATTCAAAATAATCTGGAGACCCTCTCCCTTGAGACCCAACATTTCCACCCAAAAAACTTACTTTTAGCGATCTGTTGGAATTTGTTTCTAGTAAATCTCCCAACCCTACACCATCCTTGAAAAAAAATTAGAACTTAGGACCCCCTGGCCAGGCTACTGATCAATGTCCTCTCGCTATTTATTGTTCCTTTCTCCTCTTGCGAATAATTACCCCTTAACCTCCTCTTGAGAGCGCCCTCTTGCATAGTGATACGCAAATAACAATCAGCATTTGTTTACATTAACACAATTTTGCAGTTTTTGCTATTCCGAGCATTACGTTTTTGACATTTTGAAATTATACGGACAGAAAAAAAGTTCAAAGTAACTTTTTGATGCTTAAAAATTTGAATTTGGGAGTGAATTTTTCACAGATCATGCATGAAGACTAGTTTCACTTGAACTCTATTATATCCAATTTTTTTTTTAAAAACTGCGTAAATGCTTCTCGTACTCTAAGCCCCTGGAATGATGTAGAAAGATTTTTGCTGAATTTCGTTCAATTACCGCTGTGATACAGTCAAAATTTTGAAACTCAATGATCAGACAGCTTAGAGCACTGGAAAAAAACACATTGGATCTGGAGCCCAGACTCTTAAAAACATCGACAAGAAAAAATACTCTTAATTCAATCGGATTTTTGCTTAAATTAAGAACCAAGCCTCTTAATTTGAGCGGATTTCCTTTTGATTTAAGCAAAAATCTGATTGAATCAAGAGTATTTTTTCTTGTCGATGTTTTCAAGAGTCTGGACTCTTATCCAATGTGGTTTTTTTCCAGTGAGTGCAATAAAATATAGCACCACTGTAATTGCAGCGTACCCTTCCAATCAATAAAATTGCTAAATTCGCCGCTCCTTTGACGTAAGGGCGTATCTGTGTTTCCGCATGAGCCCCGCGGGAAGTATAGAGTTATACAGAGAAAGGGTCTCACGTGAAAATCGAGACACGCCTTTACGTAAGAGGAGCGGCAAATTGTCAGAGATTTTGATTCCTTTAAAAGTATTTCTCCTTTTTCCTATGACTAAGAATGGCAAACGTTCCCGAACAGCGTCACGTTGTAAAATAAATGGACGATTATTGGCTGCAACTTAGAAGTTCTTTTTCCCAGAACCTAACCTTCAGAGAGAATAAGTGACATAAATGCAGGCACTTAAAGTACTGTGCACTTGAAACAGTGAGCCATAATCATTCGCCTCCTTCGATAAACAGCGTAATGAATCAATAATTTTCATTGTAGGGAGTGCGTAAAGAATCATCAAACTGCGAAGTCATTGCTCCAACAATTAGAGATGAGCATTGAGCGGGGAACGCGAGTCGCGTCGCCTCAATTATCGTCGCTCCTATGACGTAAAGGCGTATGTCGATTTCGACATGAGCCCTGAAAAGCATTGAGTCATATGGGCAACAGGGCTCAAGTGGAAATGGAGTTACGTCCTTACGCCAGAGGAGCGACGAATTATTTGCATGACTGCCGCTTAACATATTAACCGCGCCGAGACGTGTTTGTATTTTTACCGGAAATGTAAATCTGAAAAATTAATTGAGGGCTTTTATGCAAAATTAATATAATGCTCACAGACAGAATTTACCTCTTCCGTCACTAGCTAAACAGTAGTGTCTCATTAAGTCCCGCCGAACGCTCAGTTGTTTCCGCCAACGGACCTGAGAAATAAGAAAATTATTAATATGAATAGGTAATTGGAAGCATGCCGTGCAATGGCATCACTGGGAGGCACGCGGCGCGTCTACAAGATTCTATCACTTTGCAGCGCAGCGTGTGGGAGGCAGCGGCGATTCTGGAGAGCTGGCAACACTGTTTATCCTCCAGTTAAATCCACCGAAAATATCGATTTTAGGCGAGACAAGCTGCCTCTCCAAGAATCGATTGTTTTACATACGTTTAAATGAGGGAAAGCAGTAATGCTAACTTTCCAGAATCGCAACACTGTTTATCCTCCAGTTAAATCCACCGAAAATATCGATTTTAGGCGAGACAAGCTGCCTCTCCAAGAATCGATTGTTTTACATACGTTTAAATGAGGGAAAGCAGTGATGCCAACTTTCCAGAATCGCGGCTTCAAAGGGAGCACTGCGCGATTATGCCTAGAGAGAACATTTCGCTGTATGACCCATCATAATTCCCGGTGGAAACAACGGTTTTTATGGAGGAATTTTTAAAATATTCATAAATTGTCTGCAAAGTGAGTATTTTGGGAGGAAAATTTTGCAACGTCCGAATATCCATACGGCATTTTTTTAGCACTAGAGGAATAGGCACGCGCTCAGTTTTCGTCGACAGTGACCCTATCAATGAATACAGAATTAATCGTCATCTTATACCATGCTTATTTTCATACACATTCGTTTAAGTCTCCAGTACATGTAATGGTTCAGACGTTATTAGTGGAGACGTCATCATAGGGATTCTCCATTATATCGAATTGGATTCAAACAATAACATTTGCATAACCTCTTTCAATGCTACCAATGCGAAAAAAATCGATATTTATCGCTTTTCTGTGACGTGGCACTAATAGCGTCTATTGAAGTGACCGATCACTTGATTGAATTTATCATCATCTAAATGACTAGTAAAATTTTTTCATTTATTTGCGAATAAAAAATGTTTTCATTTAAAAAATAACCCATATTTGTTTATATCAGCAAAATTACATACAGTATATCTGTTTTAATGTTAAAGCTTTCATGATGGCTGCCTTGGGCACATTGGGGATGCAATACGATGACGTTCCAGCCAGCCCTGTGATCTGCATTCAGGATGCATACAAGAGCTACGGATCTCACCAAGCTCTTGCTGGAGTTAACCTCAGCGTGTACCCAGGAACAATGTAAGTCAAATTTTACTTTAACATGGACACTCGCCAAGACACGTGTTCTCCGGCTGGTTTTAAAGATCAAGCAGCTTTGCATTTGTTCTTGTTGGGACTTTAAAAAAAAATAGAATTTTTTTCCTTTTCTAACATTTTACCCATCAACATAGAGGGGTGTCCTCCTTCACACTAAATAATTTTATGAATGATGATTTTCTACCATATTGTAGATGAATTCGAGTCTAATTGGACCGAGTTCAACGGAAAGGAACCAACTTGCATAAAGTTGAAACTGAGAACAAGAGGTTTGAAGTTTCATTTCTCCATAAGACTCGATGGAAAAAGTAAACTTTAACCCCTCTAAACACGGACTAATTTTTTTTCTCGACTTCGAGTTTTTGGCAGGGGGATATATACGACTTGTGAAACTCAAAAACATTCTTAACGCAATTTTTTCGAAAATGTGGGTTATTCCTTCCTGATGAACTCGGTCCAATTAGGCTCTAATTTTACTAATTTCAAATTCAATCTACTGAATACTTCTAATTGACGTAGAAAAGACCCTAACTGACTTTAAATTATTTCAATTGCATGAAATTTTGAATCTAATTTGGCTCCGTTGACAAGTCTGTCCACTAGTAAAGTTCCCAGTATTGGAGCAGAATATTGTTATTTACAACAGTGTAAACATTAGACGTCAGTAATTTCATTCGGTTTCTATAGAACGTAAAATTTTGGTAAAATAACGATATACATCCACGTTTTTCCCCTTAAGTGACCTCTAAATTACCGTCACCCCATAATTAAGTACAGATGAGACACCCCTTTACCACCCTCTTCTATAGGACCTTTACGTCATAAATTGACAATTCCCAAGACGCGCATACTAATGGAGACTAGAGTACCTGTATAGCAAGCAGTGGCGTGGCGTGAATGATCGATTATCGATATTTCTCCATTTGAAGCTATGGTATAAAATCGATTATTGAGGTGTTCGCTGAGAACACCCTGTCAATCGATCCTTTCCTATAGATTCAAAAGACAAATCGATCGATATTTCGCAAAGCACGTCACGCCACTGATAGCGAGAGTATGGACAGCTCGTTTCATGGAGGGCTTAGAACCCAAAAGAACAGCCAACTCTCTAACACACAAAAGATCACTGCCGATCTTCAGATTCCAATATCAACCCAAGATAGCCAAGAATGTTAATTTGAAAATTAATGTTCTTTCGCAAAAACAAGTAAATTTACGTAAAAACTAACTCAAAAAATTGCTTCACAAACTGCTTTTTCGTAACGTCCGTAATAATAGATCACTCTAGATAATCTATATTCACAGTTAGGCTGCCCTTTTGGGCCCTCGCTTAATTTGGGGTTAAATGGATGAAGGCCCCACTAATTTTCGGGGTTTCACACTTGTCCATACTCTCGCTATACAGGTACTCTGATGAGAACAGAGTCCATTCACTAAACTCTGAAATACTCGATTTCCATGATTGTATAACTGGGCGTTTGAATCATTCAACCTCTCAACAAAATTAGGTATTCCAGATTTAAAGGCTTAATTCTGATCTATGATCATGGAACAGCTTCTGTCTATAAAACCCACGCAGCGCGGCGTGACTTTTTGTAGACACAAGATGGTTACAATTGAATTAATATGCAGTTTCCTTTCCGCGCTCAAACTTTGAACACAGTCAGTCCGTTTTACGCAACAGTGAAATTAAACCTTGGTCAAGTTCACGGGCGCGAGGCAGCATTTGCTCTGTTGCCACGTTGACCTGAATTCGCGGATACTCACATAAAATTGAGTGTAAATTAACCTTCGATTTGTTTCCTTTTTCTCTCGCTCTTTTTATTCGTAGACCTACATTCCAGAAGCAGCTTTGAGAAGCTACTGCTAACGCTAATTATAAATGAATTAGTGTTGAGTGAATAATATTTTGATACTTTTTTCCGGTAAAATGGGTTAAAAACAAAGGCGGCATTTTAGCTGAGCTTTCGGCACAGCGAACTTTGTTTCCAAGGAGGGAAGTTTTAATCGCTGGACATGCCCTGATCCCTATTTTAATTGGACGCATTTATGAATAAAAACTCTTCTTTTGATCAATCGATGGACGGTACGTGATTCTTTAGACTATCGAGGAATGTTAGTCTAGATGCGAAAGGTTGATGAAACCTATTGTTAATTATACTATCTTCTCGTGTTTGGCATCTGCATCAAAATACGAATTTCCCCTGTTTGTAACTTCCCTTTATATTTAGAATGTCTTGTTCATACATGGAACTTTTTATGGCTGCATCCATCATGATGCCGTCCTAAATACTGCCGCACTAAGGAAAACCGTCGTATGAACCTCCAGGCGTTGCGAAATTTTATTTGATAAAACACGAATTCCCTGGTAAACTTATGAATATCTTTCTACCAATTTTTTAGAGAATTTTGTTTGTACTTTGATCTAAAGTTCCTGACAATTTCAATCATCCTGAATCACGAAATGCACACCATCCACACAAAAACTTGTGTGAAAGTCACAAGTTAGGGATCGCGGTTCACGGGATTCGATCGCCCGAACGGTTGATTTAGCGCCCTTACGAGCCTCCGGAATCACGAATTACACAACATCCACACAAAAACTCGTGTGATAGTCGCAAGTGAAGGATCGCAGTCCACGGGATTTGATCGGCCGAACGGTCGTTTTTGCGCCCTTAGGAGCCTCCAGAATCATGAAATGCTCACCATCCACACAAAAACTCGTGTGAAAGTCACAGGTGAGGGATCGCGATTCAAGTGATTCGATCGGCCGAACGGTCGTTTTAGCGCCCTCAGGAGCCTCCAGAATCACGAATTGCACACCATCCTTACAAAAACTCGTGTGAAAGTCACAACTGAGGGATTGCGATTCAAGTGATTCGATCGGCCGAATAACGGTCGTTTCAGCGCCCTTAGGAGCCTCTAGACTCACGAAAAGCAATTTTCCTCGAAAATTAAAATTTCATCTAAGGAAGTATAGCAACTCTTGAATGTTCATACGGCGTTTTTCCTTAGCACGACAGAATAGGACTGTTGCAAATATCAGCTAGAGCAAAAATCAGATAAATCACTCGGGGAAAATCGAGTAAAAATCACAATGAGTGTATCGGAAAAGTCTTAAATACACTTCCAACTTCACAATCCGCGTAAGAGATACGCGCTCTTTTAAGCTTCGCGCTGGAGAAACGATATTACGGCACGAGCCGCACGAGTGAACATTTGGACTGCATTTTGCAATTTGGAACTATAAATTCTAGCCCGGTCTAAAAACAACGTATGTGCCATTATTTTCCCTGTGCACATAAGTGTTTTTCGAGAAGAGCCACAATTTATAGGTCCAAATTGCGAAATGCAGTCCATTTCATAAGAGGAGTTGTTCCGTTCAACCCTTGCGGACCAGGATGCCACGCGATATTTAACATGGCCGACGCCAATCCGCCAAAACACTCGTGACGAGACAACAACATCAACGACATCAATCAACACATTTTCCTTGCGTTGATAAATTACACGAAAATGGTGCTTCCTCACGATTTGCCCGCGGAAGCGTCGGCCATGTTGAATGTTGTGTAGCATCCAGGTAATACTGCCGTGCTGAGGAAAAACGCCGTATGAACATTCGAGAGTTGCCAAATTTCCTTCAATAAAATGTTCATTCTTGAGGAAAGTTATGAATGTTCTTCCTTGAGATTTTCAGAAACCTTAGGTGAATTTGGAAACAAAATAATCTGAATAGTTGGGAGGAAAATATTCATGAGTTTACCAGGAAATTCGTGTTTTAGAAATGGAGATTTGGCAACGCCTGAAAGCTCTTGCGGCGTTTTTCCTTAGCACGGCAGAATAGTACGCAAGGGTTGGATGGAACGACTCCTCTTACGGAAGATTCACCCGTGACGCGGAAGCGGTAAGCTTTTAAAAACGCATAAGTCTTCCGCAAAATGTGAAGCTAGGAGTGCATTTCAGACTTTTCTGATGCGCTCATTATGATTTGTAAATTGTTCTCCATTCGTAATTGAAGAGCTTCCCGGAAAAAGGGCACATAGCAAAAAATAGCGTTTGAGAAAAATGCATTTTAAGTTTCCATCATTAATTTCTGGCCACTGATGGTACCTTTCATAGCAGCTTGGACTCCCGAGTTCGAACGAAAGTCACTGTCAGTGGCCATAGAGCAATGATCAAAACTGAAAATGCATTTCTCTCAAACGCAATTTTTTGCTATGCGCCCTTTTTCCGGAAAGCTCCTCAATTACTTTGCTTTTTTACTCCAACTCAAGTTTGCAACGAATCCATTGGTCGCGCGACCATCATGAGCGCGGGCGAGAAAATTCTGCCTGGATGTGCGCGTCGAAAAGTAAAATCCTAGCGCAACTGCATATCGTAGCCCATATTTTCCGTACTGAGATATTCAGTGGAAACTCGTTAGCCACACTGCGAAACGCACTCGCGTCATTTTAATTAGACGCTCGCATTTCCATTAAGTAATTCGGAGGCGAAGTAATCGAGATTTACATACCCACAACGATCCGTTCATTGCCCTAATTTGTAATCCGCAATCCAGAGCTACTGCAATTGAATTTCAAGTCAAGCCTCGGCGCTTTTTCCTAGCGCATAGAACCAAGTTACATCAAATTCATAATAATAATCCACAAAAGCAGCCCGAATAACTCAACTAAAAACACAAGGGAACGGGTAACAAATAGGCTAAAAACATCATACACAAAACATGAGACGTTTCGAGTGGTTTCAATCCCTTGACCAGAAACAAAGACTTAAACAAAAAAAATTATAAAAATCAAAGACCGCCGGACGTTGTTTTTGCGAATTGGGGTCTAGGGATTTTGATTTTTGTAATTCTTATGTATATATTTCCTTACTGGCCGAGGAGGGGGTTGAAACTACCCCCAAAAGGTACCAGTCTTCATGCTTGTTGAATGTAATCTTGGTTACTCGTTTTTTTGTGTTTCTTAGGCAAGGTTCTAATT